CACGGTTCTCGGGGGCCCCCTGCAGGGCACACCATGCCTGGCACACGGCATGTTCTGAGTGCCCCCTGAACAAAAGTTACAAGGGACACGTAGCTGTGCCCTTTTGCTTTGACGGACCAAGTGGCTACCCGGCCACTCCAACCCGTGGGATGTTTAAGGAGCTCAAAGAAAACAAGACTGTCCTTCCAGCCAGTGATTAGCTCTCAGGCACGGGGAAGAAAGCGGATGGCATTTGTCACAGCTCCAAGCAGCAAAAGCCATTTTCAGTTGATAAACTTCCTTCTGAGAGGCAGTGTAGCTGCTCCATGCTTTACACAGGACACTGTGGTGACCCCTCAATCACTGCTCCGTCTTTGTTCCCAAAGAACAAATCGCACAGTTAGCTGCTCACCTGCGGAAGCCATTAGCGCCGGGATCCATCGGTCGGCCTGGACTGGCTGGCCCCCCAGGTCCCCCTGGGCCCCCAGGCTCCATTGGTCACCCCGGTGCTCGGGGCCCCCCTGGATATCGTGGTCCCACCGGAGAGCTGGGAGACCCCGGACCCAGAGGTGAGTACAGGCAGCCCCACCACAGCTCCAAGTGGAACCCCAGACCTTCCTCCCCTCCACAGAGATGTCCCCTCGGAGGGGACAAGGGAGGGAAGACCCGGGGGAACTCTGGGACCCGAAGTTACCTGGACACGAGCCAGTGGATGTTCTGGCCTTGACTGGCCTCGGGGTCCCCAGCACGCTCCCCTTCCTCTGTCCACCCCCGACAACGCTCTGAAGGGCTGAGCTGTAGCTAGAAACCATCTTGGGCCCAGCTCAGTGAATTCTTTATTCCTCCATTGCTACATTAAAAAAAATTTTTTTTTTTGTTTAAAATATTACAGATGTCCCCTTTTCTCCCCAGTGACCTGTTCCACCCCATCCCATCCCCTCCCCAGTCCCTCTCCCCACCATTGTCCGTGTCCTTGGGCTGTGCATATATGCATATAAGTTCTTTGGTTACTCTCTCCCCCTCCATCCACCCGCCCCCCTCCATCCCTCTGACATTCGTCAGTCTGATCCATGCTTCCATGTCATTGAATCTATTCTGTTCATCAGTTTATTAAGTTCTTTAGATTCCACGTATAAGCGAGATCATGTGATGTTTGCCTTTCTCTGCCTGGCTTATTTCACTCAGCATAATATTCTCCAGGTCCCTCCATACTGTCCCAAAGGGTACGAGGTCCCTCTTCTTCACAGCTACATAGTATTCCATGGTGTGAATGTCCCACAGCTTTTATCCATCACCTACTGATGGGCACTTGGGCTGTTTCCAGATCTTAGCTATTGTAAACTGCACTGCTATGGACATAGGGGAGCATATATTCTTCCTGGTTAGTGTTTCAGGATTCTTAGGATATATTCCTAGAAGTGGGATCCCTGGGTCAAATGGCAGCTCCATTTTTGATTTTTTGAGGAAACTCCACACTGTTTTCCACAGTGGCTGCCCCAGTCTGCATTCCCACCAGCAGGGCACCGGGTTCCCCTTCCCCACACCCTCGCCAGCATGGAGCCATTCTGACAGGTGTGAGGTGACACCTCATTGTGGGTTTAATTTGCATCTCTGATGATCAGCGATGTGGAGCATTTTCTCATGTGTCTCTTGGCATCTGTGTGTCCTCTTTGGAGAAGTGTCTATTCAGGTCCTTCGCCCAGCTACATTTTTAAAAAGTGTTTTTCTCCAATACCAGAACAACTTTTTGGGGAGCAGGGGTTGCTAAAATGTGGGGGGTGAATAGGCAGGGCCCCTTTATACTTCATAGCATGCATCTTCATGAAAATACAAACGTCACTGTTGCAAAAGGCGAAACTTTTGCCCTGGTTGGTTTGGCTCAGTGGATAGAGTGTCATCTTGCAGACTGAAGGGTCCCGGGTTCGATTCCAGCCAAGGGCACATACCTCGGTGGCAGGCTTGATCCCCAGCCCCAGCTGGGGCACGTGCGGGAAGCAACCAGTCAATGTGTCTCTCCCATTGATGTCTCCCTCTCCCTTCCACTCTCTCTGAAAGGCAATGGAAAAATATCCTTGGTGAGGATTAAAAATAAAGGCAAAAACTTACTAGGAAACAAAATTTAGAAAGGAGGTGAAATCCCAGATGCACCCTGCTGTGACCCCATGCGGTGGTCCCATCACTGGACATCACAGGGCGCTCGGTGCCCAGACACAAAAGGGGCCCCGGGACTTGCGGGCACCAGCCTTGGGAGCTACTGGACAGTAACCTTTTCCCAAATGGCCTTTAACACTTATTTTGTCTTAAATGCTAATTCTGCCAGCACAGGTGGCCTGCAGCCAGTCTGGTACCCTCATGGCCCAAGTTAAGAACTTAAAACTCAGGATTCCAGTTGCTTCCAACTTATTGATCAAATAATTTTGCTTCTGAAAGATGACTTAGAGGTTGAGCAATTTCAACACTAGAGGACAAACATGTCAAGTTCCTTTTCTTGTCCCGGGGCGACAATGGACCCGAATTAACGCCCAAACCCTCCATGGTGTTTGGAGACTGTGCCAGTGTCTCTGGGCGTCAGACCAGACAGGGCTTTCTTTACACAGGGACCCAAATGCTTTATGACTTTTGAAAATAACATTCAAAAGTAGAATTCACAGAATTCACCACCTTTGCTGGTTCTCTCAGAGAAAGTGTGACAGCACTAACGTGAAGGCCTCCACACAGTCACGTGGGTCGGGCCGCATCTTCCCGCTTCCTGCCCGATGGGCCTTTGTCCAGGGCAGGCTGGCAGATGGCATCACCCCAGAACCAGCACAAGGATGGGTGCCTGAGGGTGACTGTGACATTAACTGGGGATAGTCCTCAGGTGGAAGCCACTGTCACGCTGAGCTCGCCGCCCAACCACCCCCGGGGGACACAGGTCAGTGACACGGCAGGACTCAACTTGCCCTACAGGGAGGCCGTTCCCACCAGCAGTGCTGATGGCCTGTGTGTAACGAGGGCCCCCGCTGCTCACCAATGCAGAGGTGACAAGATTGGAAGGTTTACTGACAAACTCCACTGGGGGGGCTGGGGTTGGTCTCTTACCATCAGGCGGACAGCCCCCCTCACCAAGCTGCCTGCCTGAGGGTCACTGTATCGACACGAGGCCCCACTTACCAGGAACGTGACTGCAGAACAAGTTGCGTGTCTAACTGCACACGAAGCGCAGGCTGACAGATGGGCCTCCTGTCGGGAGACCTCGATGACACGAAGGCCAGAGCCAGTGGGAGGTGGGAGGCTGGGATCTCACAATTAGAGGGATATTTAAAAATACCTCTGCGCAGCTCGTGGGCCAGACGCCACGTTGAAAATAGGGACACTCAGCTGTGTGACAGGCAGAAGTATTTCTGAACAAAACGGAAACACCATGAGAGGTGGCCACTCACACGGCTGGGTTCGCATGTCAGAGCCGAGTGCTGCGTGGGCCAGTGTGTGTGGCTCACGTCAGTGGAGAGCCAGGTCTCAGGCACCGGGTGGTTTGCGATGCTGCCCCAAAGCCTTCCATAGTCTAAACACACACTTGTCAAATCCCTTTGACAGGAAACCAGGGGGACAGAGGAGACAAAGGCTCGGCTGGCGTGGGTCTGGACGGGCCCGATGGAGACCAGGGGCTCCAAGGTACGAGGCCACTGTCTTTAACCGCTTCCGTTTCTGGGCACCTTTTCCCAGCTCCCTAACTCTGCACAGGGCAGTGCTGGGTGAAGGCGTCTCAGTATCTGATGAAAGGACTTTTCTCTGCCGGAGCCTTCTCAGAGGCAAGGTTGGTGACTGTTCTGACAGCCGCTTCAACACGTGAACGGTTGGCCAGTAAACATGTCCCCGTCTGCTTTAGTTAAGTAGACTTGGTTACATTCCATTTAACTAAAGCCACTAGTATCCATTTCAGGTAAATTCTAACAGAATTTTCTCTTAATTGACCCACAAGAATCCTGAATGTTTAAATTTTAATGTCAAATGTAAGAGATGTCCCCAGCAAAGGCCAGCCTCGCCATGCCCCACCCCAACCATAGTTATGGGGGACTGTCTGGGGTCACTGTCTTCTGCACTCCCATCCTGGGAGTCCACACCACGAGGAAGCAGGGACTCCCCCCACGCGTCTCCGCTCCTGGCCCTAGAGGCCGCACCCCAGGCTCCTGGCTTCTCCTCTGCTGACCTGCCTCCACCTGCCATCCCCACTCAGGTGCCCACCCAGGTAGAGGGTCCTTGTTGGCTCCCCCTGTCCATCCCTCACCGAGCATCCTCACCACTCACTCCTTCCACGACAATTCACTCCTCTCGAGTCTGAGCCTCTGAGACACTGTCCTCCCCGCCCCCCGGGCTGTGCCCTTCAGTTCTGCAAGCCTGGGCTGTCCTCCGTTGGCCTCCAGAGTTAGGAGAAAAGCCAGTAACACAGAGGGTGGGGTGGCCTGTGGGACAGATGGAAGTGCCACTGCTGTTGGGTCTCACCATGTCTACACTTACCTTCCTCATCTCAAGGACCGCAAGGCGTGCCTGGCGTTGGCAAAGATGGCCAAGACGGGGCCCATGGCGAGCCCGGGCTGCCTGGAGACCCTGGCCTTCCTGGCACTGTTGGTGCTCAGGGAACCCCTGGCATCTGTGACACCTCAGCCTGCCAAGGAGCTGTGATGGGCGGGGGCGGAGAAAAGTCAGGTCCTAGAAGCTCCTAAACCACCACCTAGGAAGTAAGAGAGATGACGACTGCAGCAGTGGGTTCTGGAGGGACACCGGGGACCAGCAGCACCCCTTACCAAGGGGATGACACACTGCACTGGACATCCAGCAAGGCCTTGCTGGCCTGTCCCCTGCATCCTCGATGGTGGTGCCCGGGCACCTGGTCCCCGTGAGCATCCTTCAGCAGCTGCTGGGAAGTTCTGTCTTGTGTCTACAGCAGCCAGCCCAGCTGTAACGTCAGACCTCGGCCATGGGCCCTGTGCCGTATCACCGGGAAGGACACAGATGTGCACACAGTTTGTACAAGCCCACGAGAAAATTTAGCAACTTGTTCACATGGCATTTATGTAAAGACTAAAGTATAATCCCAATAAAATGATAAATTTTCAGATTCATGACTGGCCACAATGTAACAAAAAAATAAAGGATTTCATTACCGTGCCTTCCACACCTGCTTCTCTTGTGCCCACCTGCTTCTCTGGTGTACAAACTTCTAACTGTCTCCGACCAACAGTATTTATTAGAGGTGACTTTGTATTGCACTAACCCTATCGGTATTACCTGTTGTGATAAATAAAGCCACTTGTTTGAAAAACTCAGTTCCAAACAATACAGTTTATTACACAGAAAGTAACGACTCTCGGTGTGAAAGTGAGGCCACCGAGCAGCCACTGTGACAACATCTCACCTACGGACCAAAGGAGCTTCAACAGATGTCTCTGGGAATTTTCTAGCAAAAGGGTCCAACAGGCTGTGTTCCGCACTGCCGTCCGTGAGACGGGTCGTGGCCAGGGGAAGCGATAAACAATGAAATAAATTTCCAAACTACTTCTAGTGAAGGACATTCTGACTTTTCCAATTGCTAAGGGGGCATCTTTAAATGTAATAAAATAAGCAAAAAGCAGTGTACCTTGTAAGACTAAAGAAATTACAAAGGGTGTTAATTTTTTAAGTTATCATGTTAAGAAAACATGATGGAATCAGGCAGATAATTGAAAAATTACTTACAAATTGTCACGATGTCTGCATCCCCAATGGTCTAAGGGGACATTAATGGACAAATATTTTGTTTTATATTTTGTTCTAGATAAGTATTTTTACAAAATGTGCTTTCAAAGTCCCCACTGGAGTCCCAACTTGAGTCATGTCCCTTGAGAGTTGATGGTCGGCGCAAAGCTCTGGGGCTATGGATACACTGATGGGCCGGGTGGAGGCTGTTTGCTTCCCAGGAATCAGTGTCCAGTCCGCTCACTTGATCTCCATGGCAGGGCTGCTCTGTAGACTCTCCTGCGAGGGACATGTCACCAGGGAGTCTGGTCTGGTCAACTTTAGCCTCCTGCCAGTTTTACCACAAAACACACTCTCAAATTCCTAAAGTTGAGAAAAGATCATTAGTGTACCAATTCATAGACATGAAAACTACTGTATTCAAAAACTCAAAAGGTTGAAAGTAAGAGCTAAACTACTTCAAAACATACAGTTAAATTTGGGTGCCATTCACAAACTTACGTCACATCTTGTAAGGAGTCTATCTATGAGGAAAATAGGGATTCAAACGCTTTTCTCATATAGTAACACTGACATGGTTTTGCTGCTGTTAATCCTCACCGGAGGATATCTTTTCCACTGATTTTTAGAAAGAGTGGAAAGGAGAGAGGGGGGAGGGAAGGGGGAAAGAGAAAGAGAAAAAGCAATGTGACAGAGACACATCAGCTGGTCACCTCCCACAAGCACCCGACCAAGGCTGGGGATCGAGCCTGCAGCCCAGGTACTCTCCCTTGATCGGAAATCGAACTCACAACCCTTTGGTGCTCGGGCTGATGTTCCAACTACTGAGCCACACCAGCCAGGGCAGACATGTATTTTTATCTAGTTTTCCAACAGCTTCTCAAAATGCCTGGCCAGATCGTAAAGCCATCTTAAAGCTTAAAAAGCAGCCATATTTACATTTATTTTATTGTGGTAAAATATAGACAGCATGAACTTTATCATTGTAACCACCTGTAAGTGTGCAATTCAGATGCATTAAGTACATTCACACTGTTGTGTAACCATATGAATTTCCATACTTTTTTTAAGCATAGCATTCTTACACAATTAAATCTGGGGTTGTATATTTTTTATTGTGGCAAAATATATATAACATAAAATTTGCCATTTTAACCACTGGTAAGTGTGCAATTCAGATATTAAGTACATTCACAATGTTAACCATGCCACCTTCCAAGTTTTTCATTACTCCAAACTGACACTCTGTCCCCATTAAACACTCTGCAGGTGGAATCAGAGAGGGCACAGCAGAGGGGCAGGGATGAGTCACAGCCTTGGGAGCCCAGTAACCCTGGACTGGATTCTGAGTAGGGACACCCCCAGCACAACAGGCAAAGTATGAACGTTGCTCTGAACTACAGGAAACACTGTTTGTGCTAAACGTCCTGCCTCTGACCACTGTGTTCTAGTTGAAACACACACAGAAGTATCAGATGCAAAGTGGTGGCTTGTCTGCAACTCACTATCAAATGGTTCAGAAAAATACAGAGACATTGTGCAGGGCAGAGTAAATAGGGCAAAACCCCAACAACCAGCACCTCTGGGTGAAGCTGGGAAGGCACATGAGGGGCTCTCAGTCCTACTCTTGTCATTTGAGTCTGAAATTGCATCACGTTTAAAACTGCCATAAATAAACGTGAGCCATCTAAATGCAGAATTCTCCAGACACCTCGATGCAATGACTAACTGGAGAGACCATTGCAGTTAGAGACCAAAGGACATAACCAAATGCAAAATCCATGGCTAGCCATCAGTTTAGAAAAAACAGCTGAGTCATTTAAAAAACATTTTGGGGACACATGAATATTAAACATCAGAGAACTACAATCAATGCAAGGCATGACACGGCCTGGAGTGAGGGAGGAGAACTTTAGGACACACAGCGGAGCCATTCAGTGGGGAAAGGTCACGTTGGAAACTGTCTTTGAAGTCGTCCAGCAAATGTGAGTGTCAGCTCAGTAACATGCAAGGCATTTGCTGTGCTGTAGGCTCATCAGAAAAATGACAAAAAGCCAAGTACCTACTTGCTGACAAGAACCCACTCGCTCCAGACCCGCCAGTCGTCCTGGGCACTGAACACCCGCACGTCTGAAAACAGTGTGGGTTCCGCCTGCCCACCGTTCCTCCCGGTCCACTCAGTGGCTCAATCCAGAACCCTGAGTGCTCCCTGATCCCACCCTCCTCAAGCATGTCCCACATCCCAGTGAGCACAAGCCTCTGGCTCCCACTGCGGTGCCCGGCAGTCTCGGTGAGCTGCTCTGCGGTCCCCTGACCAGGATCTTCACCTTCACTCCCGCCCCGACCTCTCCTTCCCAGAGTCCAGGTTCCTCACACAGCAAAGCATCAATCAGATTGTGTCGCTGTGGCCTGGCCCTTCCAGGCTGTGGACACCAGGCTTCAGACTCCTGCTGCGGCAGGATCCACATGGCAGTGTCCCCTCCTCAAGATGCTGGGGATGGCCAGCCTCCGTCTTACTCAAAAGTCTGACTGAGCAGAAGCCTGCTTAGAGCAGGAAAGGTTTGTGGAATAAAATGTGTACTGCCCGGCTGGGCGTGGCTCAGCAGTTGAGCGGCGACCTAGGATCCAGGCGATCGGGGTTCGATTCCCAGTCAGGGCACATGCCCAGGTTGCGGGCTCGATTCCCAGTCGGGGGCATGCAGGAGGCAGTCAATCAATGACTCTCTCATCATTGATGTTTCTATCTCTCCCTCTCCTTTCCTCTCTCTCAAATCAATAAAAGATTTAAAAATTTTTTAAAAAGTGTACTAAAATAACTAAGGAAAATCACTTCAGACTCTCATGTACTATATTCTGCAAGTGGGAGGGCAAGTTACTGAGAAACACTGACGCCCACGTGTGTTTAGGCTGTTTGAACCCTAATTCACCCAAATTGCTAACTGACGTCACTTCAGCCCATTTCTCCATGGGTCCTATGAGCCAACACAGAAACAATCTACAAGTTCAATGTAATGAAATTTCAGAAATATCCAGGACATTGCCCTGGGTGGTGTGGCTCCGTGGTTAGAGCATCAGCCCACGCACCGAAGGGTTGAGAGTTCCATTCTGGTCAAGGGCATGTTCCTCGGCTGCAGGTTCGATCCCTGCCCTGGGCTGGGCACGTGTGGGAGGCAACCAATCAATGTGTGTCTCTCACATCAATGTTTCTCTCTCTCTCTCTCCTTCCCCCCTCCATCCCTCCTCCCTTCTACTCTCTCTGAAAAGCAACGGAATAAATATCAAGCGAGGATTACAAAAAAGAAAAGAAATATCCAGGAAGCATAATATCCATAAAATATAATGCCCATAAGTTACTAACCTATCTAATCTCAGAGTGTGTGTGTGCATAGTTAACAAGGTGTTTGCTGTTGTAACGTCTTCATCGTACTTTAATGAATTCTATTAATAATTTTCTAATACGTACACAGAACCAAACATTAAGTCATTTTAAAAATGTAAAAGCTTTATTTTATTAAAGTAACCTAGTAGTCTACCTCTAACAAATAGCATTAGAGTAATCACATGACAAACAACCATAAATGATCCCATTAGAGGAAATCCGACAGAAGCATCAATTGAAAACGCAATTAAACAGACAATAAAAATCAGGAAGGTGGAGGAGTGTGAAGCTCACGGGACACAGACAAGGGGAAAAGCAACTCTCAGTACAGCCTAGCTGAGCTTGTAGGTCCTCACCTGAGGATATGTTTTTTATTGATTTTATTTTATTATTTTAATCCTCACCTGAGGATGTTTTTTCCATTGCTTTTCAGAGAGAGCAGAAGGGAGAGACGAGAGAAACTTCAATGTGAGAGAGACACATCGATGGGTTGCCTCCCGCACGTGCCCTGACCTGGGGGTTGGGCCTGCAACCGAGGTGCGTGCCCTCAGACGGAACTGAACCTGGGACCCTTCTGCCCACAGGCCGTCATTCTAACCACTGAACCAAACAGGTTAGGCCTTTTGTTTTGTTTTAAATCCTCACCTGAGGATATTTTTCCCATTGCTTTTCAGACAGTGGGCAGGGGGTTGGGGGGGGCATTGACGTAAGACACATCGATTGGTTGTTTTCGGCACAAGCCCCAACTGGGCCAGGGATTGAGCCTGTAGCCCAGGTACGTGCCCTTGGCTGGAATTTAACCCAAGACCCTTCAGTCTGCAGGCCAACGCTCTAATCACTGCGCAAAACCCACTAGGGCTGTTTTTTTATTTGTGAGAGAGGAAGGGGGGGAGAGCGAGAAACATCAGTTGCCTTCCATACAAGCCGCAACCTTGGATCAAACCTGCAACCTGTGGATGTGCCCTGACTGGGAATCAAACCTGCAACCTTTTGGTGTATGGGATGTCGCCCAACCAACTGAGCCACCCAGCCAGGGCAGAAGGCTTGTTTTGAAAAGGTTCCACATTTACCACACCAACCTCAGCTTAGCTCTCTAATCAGACACGTGCTGCGACCACACAACAGCTTGCGCAGGGAGCTCGGACTCACTTCCCTAAAGCCTCATCACCAGTCACCCTGACCACCAGCTCTGCAGCCAGCACCCGAGCTGAGGTCCGAGGTACCCGGTGAAGCACAGAAGCCACAGGTGTCACCCCCTCCATTCTCTCCTCTGAACCAAGGAAGGGGCAGACGAGACCCATACCAAGCACTTGGTACCACCGAAGCCAAGCTCACTCACTGGGAACCAGACAGACAGTGAAGGCCATGCTGGCCCCAGAGCCCGACATCAACCTAGTGACCCAGCCTACACAAGTGTCTCTTTCCTCTGCCTTCTGAGACACTGAAGTCCAGACCATTTATTTGACATTTATCTTTTTTTTGTGTGTGTGGCTATTCTTGCTTCATCCCTTTGGGTTTTCTGAGGGTAAAACAACCACCTCCTCCAGTCTCGGAGAGCCCTTCTCACCCAGTCCTGCCCATTGCACACAGCTGGCGCTCAGTCTGTCACAACTTGTGACACTGGGCTGTTTCTACTTGGTCGTGGAGTGAGCAGTCCCGGCTGTGCTAGCTTTGCTCAGTGATGAGAACACTGATAAGCTGACAAACTCCTGAGACTCAACCTGGCCTCCATGCTCACCTTCTTAAGAGAATCTCCATGGCGCTCCTGAATGTACTTCAGGAACGCGGTAGTCCACTGCAGGGTTGTGGCCTTATCCGTCTCGGCGTTGCAGAACGGGACCAAAAGATTCAACTCATCACAGCAAATGCGTATTCTGCGCCTACAACAAAATGCAAAGTAACAGAATCTGAAGCAGATACGGAGCAAGGCAAGCATTCCTGCCATGCAAAGGGTCAGAGCTCAGGGGCCCGGCGCAGAGTGGGCAGAGCCCTCTGTCCTCCCAGGACCTAGTGCCCATGGCTGCCCTCGGCCAGGCTTCACTAGAGGCTGCTCCTGCCTCGGGTGCCCTCCCCGGGGAGCTTCCCTATTTACTTCTCAGGGGCCAGGTTCAAGGGTCTAGAGTCTAGACCTCGCCTCAGGGACCTTGGTCTAGCAAGGAGGGACCCAAGCCCCTGAAACTGGAAGCAAAGTGTCGTGTGGTTTTCCTGGGCAGGTCACCCTCTTCCTCAAGTTAGTAACCTGCCCTCTGCGTGCCCAGGACAAGTACCTCAGCTTCACTTCCCCAAGAGGCCTGGTTCAAAAAGGACCACAGACACTAGCCTGTTAATGTCTGGAAACCTGGTCTAAGATTCTTAGAGTCAATTTAAATCATAGCTGGGGTCATGATTAGGCCATCTGTGACTTTCACACACTGGGGTAGTGATGTGCAGAGTCGGAGCTGACAATGAACAACATTCACCACACGGCCCTCAGTCCTCACCTCCCACTGAACATGCAGGACTTCAGACTTTGTAAACACAGCTGGCACGTACACAATGCTCTCCACCCCACATCAGCTCGCTTAATTCCAGCCCTAATCTATGTTGGTAGGCAGTATCTCTATTTTATAGACAGAAACGCGAGACAAGAGGGAACTTTCACTGTGGACAGGTAAGGTTTTCACACAACAGGTATTCAGTGAATGTTTATTAAATAAATGTAAGCAGGAAAGATGCCCTTTGTCACCAGTGAGCTCAGTGGGTGTGTGTGCATCACATTTCACGGTTATCTGGCTGGCTGCACTATATGCCTTTAGAGAGAGGTAACCTGCCTCAGCTCAACCCTGGGGCTTCAGAGTTGAGTACTTGTCCAGGCTGCACTTCTTGAGCCTACAACAGAAACTGGCGCATATGCTCAATAAATGACTCGGTTAGCTAATGTGTTAGGAAACATCATGTAAAAGCCCAGCTGCAAAAGAAAAACGTTAACCACCCTGATTCTACACAGAATCACACAAATATCTCTACAGAAAAACGACTTAACAGTTTTAACCCCCTCCTTCCCCAACATTCTTAAAGGAACCAGGACAAACTGGCGACAGAAGCTGCAGGGGAGTTGGTCAGCAAGCCGCCCCACTCCTGAGGAAGGAAGGCTGGCCAGGCTGGCACCTGGGAACTCAGATTTCAGGCGGAGGGAGGGGAGGCAGGGCCCCACCACTGTTAGTTAAGAGAGGCTCCCTGTGCCTAAGCAGTTTGTACAAACACTGTGGTTTGTGTGAAACACGTGCTTCCCTTCTGGGTCGGGAACCTGGCTGTGTGCCAGCAGGGGACGCCCACATGAACGGCCCCAACAAAATCTCGGGGACAGAGTCTGCTGGCAGCAGTTCACACGTCCCAGAACTCGGGGCTAGGAGTGAAGTGCTGCTGGTGACTTCCATGGCAAGACCCTTGGGAGTCCCCACCTGATCCCCTGCCTTCTGCCCTAGAGACACTGCAAATTTTGCCATGTCTTTTCTCCATACTAAATCAAAGCCATGAGCCATCCTCATAAGGAGGGTCTAGGGGTGTTGGGGACCCCGATCCACCCAGAAAAGCAAAGTCCACGTTGACTTGTGCCAACTTCCTCTCCCTTTGAACATGGACACAACTACTTGTTTATATAACAAGGGGCCCATTATTACTAATGTGTCTAAGGTAAGTGTCCACAGGTGACCCTACACTCAGTCCCGAGCGAGTATGTTACCTTCTGTCCCTCTCCATGCGGTTGTGCCTCTCCCTGCGCTGTGACCTTCCGCCCGGAACGCTCTGGGACTGCTCCCCAAGGTGGGACTGCGATGACTCTGCAGCCTGCCAGGAGCCCTGGGCGGTGGTGGCGCCTTCGCCCACATTCTGAATCTCCCCGAGGGCTCTTCGCTCCACACTTGTGTCCAACTGGCGCATCCTACTCCTGTTCCTCTTGTTCATTGCTTGTTTGCACAGCGCTTCTTCTTTGCAAAAAAAAGAAAAAGGCGGGACTTTAACTGTTTATTCTTCTTAACTTGTCTTCATCGATGCCGAATGCACGTGTTGGCATCTTCAATCCAAGACATAAACACTAGTGGGTAAGAAGCAGAGACCTGAAGACCTCGGCAATTCTGTGTGAGCAGTCACCTCGAAGCTCCTAGTTCCAAACACCAGACTGGGCATAAATCTATAACTAAACTACAACACGCTGAGTGTTGACAACAGAACCCTGTCAATGCCCCCTTGTTAATCAACAGGCTACTTAACTGCAACCAATGAAGAGAAAAACCAAGAAGTTTTTGGATTTTTCCGATATTAGAGTGGGGGAAAAAAGCTGAAGTTATTCTAATACGACAAGTGATATTCTACCTGCAATTCTCAGAAGAGATCAAAAGCTAGGTGGCTTAGCATGCAACACACCCTCACCTTACAAGCGATTCTCCCCACAGGAGGAGCACTCACATCAGAGCTATAGAAACACATCACATTTCCACCAGACACAGGACAGCAAACACCTAACTGGTGTGCGCGGTGACGTGCACCCCAGAAGCCACACAAAGCCACGTTCAAAAGAATCACTTAGGATGTTTCAGAATGTTGACTTTTCAAGGGGAACAGAAGGAATTCACAGGCATTGGCAATGTTTTATTCCTTAAGCTCAGCAATCAGTACAGGGACTATTTTAATGTTAACCTTCATATCTGACAAATGTTAACATATACTTTTGCAGAAAACATAAAAACAAGGAAAAAATTAATTATTGCCATGGGAGAAAGCAGTAGCCCTCCACCCCGTCCTGTGTTCATTAGCTCTTGGAAAGCTTAGCGTAAGCCACATTATTCTGGGGGGAAACTTGAAAAATAATTTGTTTCCAGGGAGAAAGGGCTTGAGAGTTAATATCTGAGGAAAGCAGAGTCTGCCTTCAGCAGTGTCTTTATTTGTAAAACTTTCTGAACCACCATATGGCCCCTTGCTCCCACCTCAGGCCTCTGGCCATCTGTACAGTCTCCTAAGGCTTCTAGCAGAGTTCAGGTGCCTGCCTTACTCACAGGGTATTAAATAAGAAAAAACAAACAAACAGAAACCTATGTGCTTTGGGAACTTGAAGGTAACTGAAAATTTATGTCAGTCTATCATTTTTGTGTTAGGGTATTTACTATTAAGAAAAGGCAGCCCCAAACTCAATGTTCCCATACCAAGTGTTAAATATGATGTCTGTAGTTCAGAAGAATGCTCAAAGTGAGGTGATGGGGAGGAGGGATGGAAGGAGCCCTGAGATACAGGCATTTCCAAGACCATTCATGTTCCTAAACCACCTCCCCCCTCTCCAGGGCAAGGCCACAAGCACTGGGGGGCAAAGATCGCGCAGAAATACCTGTTCCCTTCCACTTGGTGGCTTACCTCCCACTTTAATCCAAACCTGCTCAGGCAAAGCTTTGTTTCTACTACCTAAAGTTTGCTTCGTGGATTCAATTTCTTGTTGATAACAGAAAGAAAACGCTCTCGGCAATCCGATATCCTGATGCTTGGCAGCCTCAAGCATAGAGCAGGAGTTACTAGAACTCTGGAAAAGATGAAGCAATGGGAACTTGACCAATATGCAACTTTGTCCTGCACAAATGCAGTAATAGAAGTGACTTCAAAGCTATTGATACACAACACGAAGAGCTTAGGTGCACTGATAACTTTGTAAAATTCCCAAACAGCATAAATGCTCTTGATTTTATGGGTTTTTTTTAAATTGATTTTTAGAGAGAGGCAGAGAGAGAAACATCAATGTGAAAGGCAAACTTCCATCAGTCACCCCCCACATGCGCCCTGACCAGGGATCATACCCACAACTTGGGCAAGTGCCCTGACCAGGAATTGAACCCACCACCTTCTGGTGTACGGAACAATGCTCCAACCAACAGGGCCACACGTGCTCTCAATTGTAAAAGGTTAATAAGCTCAACGAAAGAAAAAAGTCCTTAGGACCTAAGTAAAGAAATTAACACAAGCCACTTTCTGTACCTGTGTCTGTGAGAGGCCGGGGCCTCCTCCAGAGGAGCAGGCATTCGCTGTGAACAGGGGGTAGGTGAGCTGCAGGGCAGTGGCAGCAGCAGCTGTCTTATTTTTCACTAACGTTGTGCATTTGTTTTGTTGCTGATGAAGAGGAACACTCATTAACTCAGATGGATGTCGAATAAGAGTCACCAAACTGCCGAGACAAAAGAGAACCCAGAAACACATAAAGATGTAGCAGGAAAGCTTCCTGAAACACCATTTACCATCACAAAAATCTCTATAAAGCAACTATCAACTGGTGGTGTAGTGGACAAGCTCCAACCTTCCTCACAGGAGAAGGGGGACTGTGTGCCATCTTTTAGTTATACCTCCCTCCCCACCAGGCCCTTGACACCAATCTCCTTTGAGAGCCATCCTCAGAAATCAGGACTATGTATAAAATGGGGGACACTACTAGGTGGGCATGGATAGCAAGCTGAGGGGGTCACTGGAGCAGAGGGGCTGGGAGATGGCTACAGATCTGGCAATCCGGCTGCAGGTGAAAGCTGCATTTTTTTAAATCCTCACCAGAGGATATTTTTTCCACTGCTTTTCAGAGTTCGGAAGGAAGAGAGAGAGGAACATCGATGTGAGAGAGACACGTCGATGGGTTGCCTCCCGCAGGCCCTGCGCCCAGGTCGGGGCCAGGGGTCCAGTCTGCAATCCACGTACAGGCCCTTGGCCGGAGTCGAACCCGGGACCCTTCAGTCCGTGGGCCGACACTCTAACCACAGAGCCAAACCATCCCGGGCAGGGAAGCCGCCTTTTCTACTCAAAGCCTCACTGCAGGCCTCCCACACCCAGATGCAGGGGGGCCCTGCTGGGTGGCACCAGGAGGGAACCGGTGTCCTCGGCACAGGACCCCTTTCCTCTGCGCCCAGACCCAGACGGGCAGATGCCGGGCTCGGGGAGGCCGGTGACCTCGGCACAGGACCCCCTTCCTCTGCGCCCAGACCCAGCCGGGCAGGTGGCAGGCTCGGGGGGCCGGTGGCCTCGGCACAGGACCCCTCCCTTCCTCCACGCCCGGGCAGCGGGCCCAGCCTCCCGTCCGCCGCCACGGCCCGGGACCCACTTGTTGAGCGCCACG